ATTGGTCTGGGGTGAGAACTACGAGTAGTCGAGCCTCCAAGGCTAACACTCTGCAATGTGCAATGAAAACGTGTCTGCTGCAATGGAGGTGATTACCCCTCACTCCTTCACATTCAGTTGTATGAGAATGAGACAAAGAGACCGCTATACAGAATGATTAGAGAAGGAATGATAATGAATTCTTCGGGCCTCAATCGTACCAACTACTTCGAAAGCCTTGGCAAATTTCAAGCGGAAGTCTACGCTATAGATAAATGTATACAGGGTCTTCACATATATTTTGAAAACCCCCTCAACTATTTTATTTATCATCAAGTTTTTCTTTCCAAAAAAAAGTCTTTTATGATTTTTCCTTAAGATTTTGAATATGTTAACAGAAAAACAATTGAACATCTCAAAAAAATGTTATGGACAAAATGTATTTATTTTACAATAGAACACCCTGTATTTTATTGTATTTTCAGATTCTCCCTGAAGACTTGATTTTATCTATCTATCACAGTTGGGGTCTAGCTGGAATGATTACTGAGATATAGGGTGTGAAAAATTGAAATTTATTCAACTTTAGGAATTTTTTGTGTCGAAACTATTCATTATATTGGCCAAAACGGTTTTTATGACCCTATCTTAACTTTTGATGTACCTATTATCTACTGACATTCAATTGAAACGAATACAGGATGGTGAAAAATCTAGAATCTGATGACCCTGCTGTATTTGTTTCAATTAAATAATAGTAGATTTAGTGGATCAAAAGTTGAGATAGGGACTTGGGAAAAATTTTGGACAATGATAAAAAGTTTCGACACAAAAAATTACTGAAATTAAAATAATCTCAATTCTCCACACCCTAGATATCTCTGTAATCATATTAGGTAGACCCCAACTGTGATAGATCGATAAAATCAGGTCTCCAGGGAGAATCTGAAAATGCAACAAAATACATGGTGTTCTATTGAAAAAATTATAAATGTTGCCCATAAGTATTTTTTGAGATGCTCAACTGATGCTCAAGTATGAAATCTACAGGAAAAAATATAAAAGAACGTTCCTTGAAAATAAAAATTCAACAATACATAAAAAAGTTAAGTGGGTCTTCACGCCCTGTACATCAGACATTTTGGGTATCTGTGTATTCACCTCTCATGCATATAATCCTTATACAAGGTGATTCTAAAATAGGTGGTCAAATTTTGGGAGCATATAGAGTGGGTGAAATAATTACGAAAACCTCTGTAACATTTTTTTCTGAAGTGACCCCCAAGAAAGATACAGCCCCTCAAAGGGGGGCCTCGGAGAATGATTTTGTATTATTATCTCCAACACCTTGTATAATGAAAATCTGAAATTTTGTCTATCCGCTTACTATTCAGTGCCGGTTCGAATGGGGTTAAAAATCACCTCAAAATAAAATACAGGGGTGTCTCAAAATAGGGAGGTAGGGGGTAAAAATAACCCTAACTTTTTTGTTCATTGCAATTTCAGTTTTTTGACATGAAATTATGAAATCTCAGGGCTATTTACATGAAAAAGGTGCTCCTGTTGCATCTCGATAAAATTAACTATTAGCGAATAAAATTTAAAAAAAGCTTGTTATTAACAATATTTTTCATTTTAGTATTTTCAATAGGATCAGACCATAATCACGAAACTCGTCGTCTATTGTTAATTCATCAATTCCGACAATGAATTCAAAATTTCCAACCCCAAAAACCCTTACAAACCAATTTTGAATCGAATCGAACCATAATCACAAATCTGGTCAGCCACATTGGAGCCGCCATATTTTTTTCTATCAAAAAGTCCATAACGCGTTGTCAACTGTCATCTGCCAGATTCCAAGTTGATCAGACGATTAGAGGTAGGTGAAAATTCAGTTGCAAGATTTGAACTAGATAATTAAACTCAAGTGCATACCAAAATTGCAATTTAAATGAAATCTTGGAAAAATAAATTTTATTCGCTAATGGTTCAGTTAATCGAGATCCAACAAGAGCTCCTTTTCTATGTCGATAGCTCTGAGATTTCATAATTTCATGTAAAAAAACTGAAATTCCGATGAACAAAAAAGTTGAGGTTATTTTTACCCCCTACCTCCCTGTTTTGACACACCCCTGTATTTAATTTTGAGGTGATTTAAACTCCATTCGAACCGGCACTGAATAGTTAGTGGATAGTGGATAAACTAAATTTTAGATTTTCATCATACAAGGTATTGGAGATAATAGTTCAAAATCATTCTCCGAGGCCCCCCTTTGAGGGGCTGTATCTTTCTTGGGGGGCACTTCAGAAAAAAATATTACCGAGGTTTTCGTAATTATTTCACTCACTCTATATACTCTAAAAGTTTGACCATCTATTTTAGAATCACCTGTATAATACAATACTCAAGATATATACTCAAATCCATTTTTCAACTTCCAATTGAATGAAATACTTACATACGAAACGTATCCTCGTTTATTCGAAATTATACAAGGTAGCTTATTAACTCATTTGAACATTCAGATCGTTTGAAAATCATAAAAAAAATAATCGTTGATACTTTCATCAATATCCAGAATATCCATTGAAAGAATGAAAGTCTGATTGATGTGAAACAGACATTTATAAAAATAGACATAAGAATCCATTAAACAATGAGGTAAATATATCATTATATTTACAAAAAAAGGCAAACATAACAATACAATATTTATTACCTTTTCCAAAATTGAACGCAACAAAATATATAACGTCATACAATGTGATTCGGCAATTCCAGACTGCGGAGTCAAACGTGCGAGTATACATGGTGATCAAGGTTTGGAACATGTAGCTCCCTCAAATTAGGCATGTTTAGGAACGTAACAATATTTATAATTGATATACGATGTAATTCATATTTTGCAAACCTCAATGTATAATAGTTTACCTATATATACAAGAAAACGTGGAGTGAAAATGTATTCATACAAATGAAGGCGTAGTCCTGGCGGCATTTTGAATCCAAAAAAGAAATAGCGTCCGTCCTAATCTCTATTTATATGTAGTTGTGATCTATAAAAAAATGTTGCCAACTTGTTCGCCGCATGTGACTTTTTCAATTCTTTTCCCATTCTGTTGAAATTTCGACCGAATCGTTCATTCATAATTCGGAATGTTAACCTGAGTATCAGGTCCTGAGAGGAGCTGACGGCTTGATCATTATACAGGGAGAAACAAAATTTAGTTTTTCACCCTCATCTTCCTAACATCCTGTGGAAAAGGTGAGTGGTTGAACTTAGCTTCATCATGTTTTGGATAGAGTAGATCCCTTCTCAACACAATGGTTCTTAATATACGTCGAAAACCACTTTTTAGAAGGAGATACAAGTGTTTTGAGAAAGTATAGATTTTCATTATTTTCATTAATTCAGAACCATTCTTCAACCTTATTCTGATTTGTCTTGTTTTGAATTACATTGTGATCCTTTTTCGTCCCTTCTCATCAACACAGTGGTTCTAGATTCACTTCGACAAATACAAACTCGTTCGAGGTTTGATTGGCATGACAAGAATAATCGTTTCCCTTCAGATCAATCAATCAATCTATGAGGGGATTTTTATAATAATCAATTTATATTTTTCAATATATCTTAATTTTCACAATAAATAGTGCAATTTGATGGATGATTCTGAACATACATACGACTTAATACTGCAATAAACAGACTCAAACTCTCATATTCCATAACCTACCACTTACATTTTGCCATATTATCATATCTTTATTTTTCCCGCACTAGTGTGGGAAAAAAATGTCCGCAATGTTGCGGGAAAATGATACTAACTAAACTAAATTACGTGCGGTATAGGGTGATTCACGCACGCTTGTAGAAAAAAGTTATTTAAGAAATGTGACATTCTATAACCTGTCCACAGACATGAAATGTCAAACCTTTTCACCGTCAGAGTAAAATAATATGAATCTGAGAGAAATTGTCGGTTCTTTGGGGCCCCCTGAGGATGGGGGGCCCTGGATACAGGCCTTGTGTGCCCTCATGGTGAAGACGCTCTTGGACCTACTTCGACTTATTTTTATTATTTCGTGTAGAAAAGTGAGTTAATCCTGATTCATTCAAACTAACAATGTTATGGATAGGTTTCCAGACAATATTATTTTTCACGCAGTCGTAGTTATTTATTTAGGTGTAATGAAAAATACAACTCAAGAGATTCTTGATTCGAAAACAAAAACAAGGAGCGTAGTGTGTCAAGTATTGACTTATTCAATGTTAATTTTTGGAAAGAACCATTTTCCATTCAAAATTTGTAGAATATTCAAGAGGAAGAATGTCAATGGAAAGAATTACAAAAGCGAAATTCCGATTAGCGAATTAGCGATGTATCAGAATGTCCGTATATTTAATCAAAAACTATATAATTACTAATTTTATTAGAGTGCTACGTTTATTAGTTACCTATTAGGTTTAATGATGAAAATTCGATCACTGACGTCGCAGTGTCGCCATATTGATTATAGAAAAAAATTTCTACTGCGCCGCCATTTTGAAAACAAATTTCCACTTGTGATATGTCATTGTAAAGGAAATTTTCCACTCTATCGACCATTTCTACACGTTTCCATTTATAATCCTCGATCTAAGTCTATTTCCCGTAATACCGGAAGTGATATTTAACTATTGTTTCATGAAAAATATTCGTTTCAAGGAACTATATCTTATATTGAAATGTCTTGTGGCTGTGACATCATGACGTCATTATAGAGTCTCTCGGACGTCATTTTATGACGTCTGCTTCGTCATTTGGTTACTAAAAAATGACGTCATCCTGACGACGCGTACCAGTTCAAACTCTGACTATGAAATCCGATAAAAGCAGGGAGTAAGGTAGATCGTCAGAAATAGACCATTTTCCATTCATTCGTCGCACGCTATTCATTTGTTTGGAGTTCGTGTACGTGAGTGGTTGTACGATTATTGGCTCAAGATTTCTCGTTCGATATGCCCATCGGTATCATTTGAATTTACAGTTCTGTTCTGCAATTCACAGTTGAAGGTAAATGCCTACTTTGATTTTGCTATAGCAGTACCTATACAGGGTGTCCCATAAGTCATGGATAAAAAAAGTGGGGTGGTTGGAGGGTCATTTGCGATCAAACTAACGGTATAAGTGATTTTCGAAAGTTATTGAATTTTCCTGAAAAACGCACCCATTTGACAAAAAATCAGTAGGAAAAAGGCTGTTTTCATGACCCTATATGTCATATCATTTCGGAATCTGTATTAGATGGGCAAATTCTTCTTATAATTATTGGTTATCTTTGTTGGGTAGTTTCCAAATGTGCCAGCATTTAAAAATCAACTGAAATATTTCATTCAATTACTAAATTTGAGGAAAGCAACATTTTTAATGGGTAATTGAACACAGGTCATGAAATTATTTCTGGGGAAAGGTGCATCCATGCATTCCATGCGGATGAAATTCATGGGAGAAAAAATCACAAATGTGACATAGTTTTATTTAGTTGATTTTTTTTATAGAATTGAGAAAAATCAATATTTTTTGAACTATCAACGATTGGATAACAACATATACGGTTAATATGATCAAAAATGACCCCCTACGACTTCACGTCTTTTGATGCATGACTTTTGATGTAGGAGTGAAATCTTGACCACTGAAAAAATTTAACAATATGCTTCCAGATTTTTGAAATTTGATATTGTGACTCAAATTTACGGAGTAAACAATACACGCTTTCCTTATGCAATACGCTAAGTACTGGGAATTGCAATGTGAAAAAGATACCTACTTTGTGATCTCAATGAGACTTTATTGTCCAACTAGGTACGTTACTTCAATTATTTCACTTGATTATTTGAGATTTTCTCTCTTCGTTTCTATAAAATTAAAATATACGTATTATTTCAATATACAGTGTCATTCATAAAGTCGGCATCATATATGGGAAAAACGTTTATTAATGACTTATTTTGGAATTTGAGTTGGACGTTGAGTTTTGCTTCAAAAAAGATGGAAAATGGCCTACTCAATCGGGGTCACGTGACTTTCGCTACATGTCAAAAGTGACATTTTTTCAAATTAATCGCTGAAAGTAGGCTTATTTGATCGAATATCGAAAAAGTTTACTTGAAAATGTTGTTTCTATTTCAATTTTACATATGTGACTCGGATTTTAACTTTCTCTTACATTTTTTAGATTTCGATATTTTTTAAAAATTTTCGAAATTTCTGTAATATTAAAAAAAGTGTAAATTCGATTAAACTACTTCATATCAGTAGTTTTATCATACTACTAACTTTCAATCACTAATTATCACTAATTATCGACAAAAATATGATTTTCTTCAGAAAATGATAATCTCCGCTTCAAAATTTTGTTATGTTTGATGCAAACATAACATCGAAATTCTGTTATGTTTGAGTCAAGCATTTAGACACGAAATTCATTCAAATTTATTCTTCCAGTACTGAAAAGATCAGTTTGAATGAATTTCGTTTTTAAAAGCTTGACGATGTATCAACTTTGCATCAAACATAACAGAATTTGGAAGCGGGTATTATCATTTTCTGAAGAAAATCATATTTCTGTCCATAATCAGTGATAATGAGTAATTGAAAGTGAGTAGCATGAAAAAGCTACTGGTATGAAGTAGTTTCGTGGGATTAACAATTCTTCAAATATTACAGAAATTTCGAAAAATTCAAAAAAAAAATCAAAATCAAAAAGTTGCAATAGAAAGATCAAATTCGAGTAGCATGTGTAAAATTGAATTAGAAACAACTACTTTCAGCGATTAATTTGAAAAAATGTCACTTTTGACATGTAGCGAAAGTCACGTGACCCCGATTGAGTAGGCCATTTTTCATCTTTTTGGAAGGAAAACTCAACGTCCAACTCAAATTCCAAAATAAGTCATTAATAAAAGTTTTTCCCATATGATGCCGACTTTATGAATGACACTGTATGTTTAGAAGGACAAAGCCTACTTATAAGAAAAATCCAGTAGTTCGTCAGTGGCACTTTGTTTGGAAAATTGTTTGAAGAATTGTAGATAAATTGAAGAAATATCGAATTTCTACATATTTTTAGACGTTTCGGGAACGAATCTGCTCCCGTACTCAATATAAAAATGCAAAAAAAATTTTTCGAAAATTGTTTTGGGTCAATCTATATTTTTCGAATTTCGAGGTGCATGAATAAGTCCGTAACAAAGAGCGATTGACATTTTTCACTCACTTTATCAGCCCCATCATTTATATGACATGACCTTTCCAGAGACCCTGTATATCATCGGATTTTCGTTTTTGATAATCTAGCATCACACAGGGTGTCCCGTAAAGACCACGTCAAACCTAGGGAGAATGTATAGATCAAAGGAAAATCCACCTGCTATGACAAAATTCCCATTATAAAAGTCTTTCGTTTTCGAGATATTTTTCCTTAAATATCGAATTTTTGCCCCTTTCAATAGTTTTGTCTGTACGGTTGGTACAATTTCACACCTTTTTGGTTCATTTTTCCAGTAAATATTGCTGAAGAATGATTTTGACGTATGCATTGAAAACATTCTCCGAACATTTCAAAGGGAGGCTGTGAGAAATAATATTGTATTGAAAACTTTGGTAGTGGATATTTTTATCAACAATAAAAAATCTCGAGAACGGTAAGACTGTTATGATGGAAACTGGCTGACCCGGCAAACGTTGTGTTACCATAAATATTAGGTAGGTATTTCTAGAAAAAAATTTGTTCGATAAATATCTATAAAAAAACATGTATTATTTTATTTCCACTTCTTTTTAGTTTGACTATCCATGAAAGCGATATTCTCTAGTTTTTCAAACTAATCTATTCATTTTCTACTTCTTATTCGGCATTCTATTCTACTTCTATTCAGTTTGGCCTCGAGTTTGGCTACCCATAAAAGCATGTTTCATTATAGTTTCCCAAACTACTATTAATTACAAAGCTCTTTCATCATATTGGATCCGCCATTTCGAATTCCACATTTTAAAGAATGAATTCATAAATCTACGACCCCGAAAACCCTCAGATACAAATTTTGAAAAGAATCGGATAATAATTACAAAACTCGTCCGCCATATTGCATCCTCCAACTTTAATTTTCTAATTTCGATGAAAGAATCATTATCTCCGACTCCGAAAACCACCCGATACCAATTTTGAATAGAATCTGACCATAATTACAACACTCGTCCGCCATATTTGATCTGCCATTTTGAATTTCCCCATTTTGACAAATGATTCATATCTCCGACATCTAAAACCTCCAGATACCAATTTTGAATAGAATCTGACCATAATTACAAAACTCGTGTGCCATATTAGATCCGCCATTTTGAATTCCCAAATTTTGACGAACGAACCATAATCTTCGACCTTGAAAACCCTCAGATACCAATTTTGAATATAATTGGATCATAATTTCAAAACTCGTTTGCCATATTGGATCGGCCATTTTGAACTTCCTAATTTTGATTAAAAATCATAATCTCTGACCTCGAAAATCCCCAGATACCAATTTTGAATGGAATTTGACCATAATTACAAAACTCGTCCGCCATATTAGATTTGCCAATTTGAATTTTCTAATTTTGATGAAGAAATCATAATCTTCGTCCTCTAAAACCCCCAGATACCAATTTTGAATGAAATCTGACCATAATTACAAAACTCGTCCGCCATATTGGATCCGCCATCTTGAATCTCCAAAACTTGACGGCAGAATCATAATCTCCGATCTTGAAAACCCCCAAATACCAATTTTGAATGGAATTTGATAACAATACTCGTCCGATATATTGGATTCGCCATCTTGAATTTTCGATTTAAAAAATAGATTACGACCGATTCTCATACCTACCGAATACGCACAAAAAATTCCATACGAATCGGACGAGCCATTTCGGGGGAGTTCGACCACTAACACCGTGACCGGGACAGGAGAATTTTATATATTAGATCATATGCAGGTGGGTTATCCCTTCATCCACATTCTGCCTAGGTTTGACGTGGTCTTCACATACGGGACACCCTGTAGATTCCAAATTAGGGGATGTTCTAAGTTGAAATCGCACACACTGTATATCGAGAAAATATCAAACTTGCCCATCAGAAGTTTCAGAAACGAACCTGCTCTCGTTTTCAACACAAAATTGTCTAATCGTGTGGCGCAGCTCTGGAGAAAAATGTCCGAAATTACTATCTGATTGGCCAGGCGATAACACTTTGAAACTGCTATACTGTATGTGGAAATTTCGATATCAAGATATTGTACAGTACCTACTTAAATATAAGTCGAGGACAACATAAATTAATGAAGTTTCGCAATTTACCTATATTATATGCTATTTCTGTGTTGTTAACCAGAACGGAATTGTTTCGACAGAAAAAAAACGATTTCATTCATTTCGCTCTCTAATATTCTTCGTAATTCAAAAAAGTTGCATTGACATTTGAAAAACAATAATCGACTTTTAAAATGATATTACCATGTATGCATGAGCTATTATAATAATTAGCAAAATAATTAGCGTATATAAACTAAGTAGCTACATTTAGCAGCCGAATGATTTTTTTTTGTATTTTTTGACGTATAGGTGACAATAAGTACACCATGACCAAGCAAAAGTTCCTGTAGATAATGTATTATCATAACATCAGGTTGAAGAATTTTGTGAAATATACATAATCTATACCTACTCATTACTCATTTGATTGCTGCAATGATTATACACACAATGAGGAAAACAAATGGTTATTAGTTGTTATTGGGTACACGTGAGATACAAAAACAGCAAATTAAAATGGGTTCTTGAACAGTTTCAAGAAACAACGTAATTTCTTTGTTAACCTAATTATAAAATAATAATTTTCAGTATATACATGAAAAGTGTCTGTGAATGGGCGAGTAGACTGATAATGAATTATTAGTATTCAATTACTCCATTGTGCTCGTTATGGGAACCTAAATCAATTTTTGCAACACTTCTAACGCATTTTTGTTGTT